AATAAACAACATCAATTCATAATATTAAGTATTGTGACTTTTGGTAGATCGTGTTCACGTGTTGGTCTAGTGTTATCATTTAATATGTTTATAACAATACACGTCGTCGTTACCGTATGTTTCAGGAATGTTACTGATTATGACAAGGACGATAATATACATAGTTTTATATGTACGTAACTATGGCAAGTTTTATTTGTTATGCCTACATAGTTTTACATGTATGTAACTATTTTTATTTATCTACTAAATATTTTGCAATAGTGTAACATACATAAGATAGTTAAAATTTTAAAGTTCGTCAATATATAAATTGTTTTTTTCTGAATTTTTACTTGTTTGCCTAGTGCTCACGAGCATGACCTAAGTCTAAACATTGAATAAAAAAAATAGTAAAATATTGGCCTCGCAATTTGGAGGTTTTGTGTGTTCTGATCAAACTTAAAAGGTGAAAAAAACTTAAAAAATGATATTAATCTTCTCCAAGGAAAACCAATTTATTTTATACCACTAACTATGGAAATCAGTCAACGACACAGCGTTAACTACTTTCCATAGTTTCTATATCACCAGGAAAAAACACGCCAAGTTACCGACCTTTAAGAAATGTAACATACAGTTGTTTTTGCCGATACAACTATTCCAGTCACTACGATTGAAAAAGTAACTAATGGTACGGTTTACCAGGGCCTCAGAAATTGGCTATACACCATTAGTGCCACTCGCAAGCTATCCATTCTATTGAGTTATCGAGTCCTTGCATTCCTACTCTAAGCTTAAAGAGAACAAATCTATACTAGTTATTTTTATTGTTCCCTTCCCAGAGGTTCTTACTAACTTCGCAATTTACAGAAGCAACATGTTAAATAATATACTGTAATTTAAATACAGGTAGAGTTCAATGGTCTGATCGCGTGAATATGTAGTGACAGCAAAGTCTCATCGGCAGTGTAATTACTTCACCACGACTTGTTACAAGCCGATTTAATGAAGTACTTTCCAACACTTTCGGATCACTATACGGAGACCGTGAAAGTAATTGGCAACAAAATTACAACGTATATATATAAACCACACCGCGACATGGTAGGAAGTTGTTATTAAAGGTAACAAAGCAAAGTATTACGTCTATACTATAAAGTCGTGTGTATAAAAAAGAAATTCAATTACATAGTAATTAATAATAAAATAGTCGTCATTACTTGCGTAAAATTATTTAACGATAAAATATACTTATGTCATCCGCTCGTAGTGAAGTAATTTATCAACTTCGCGCCTAAGATAGCTTTATGTTACTCATATCTTGCGCAAACAATTATAGTACTAAATCATTTATGTTCGAAAATTTTCTTCACCATATCTAGACCGCCGTGAAAATTAATTAGTGTTCTTACAAATAACGGAAACTTTAAGATTCATGTATTTGATAAGCTATAAAGGTTATTACCAAAGTTTAAAAGTTTTACTGTACATGTCTATTTCATCTTTTAATAGAGTTGTAAAAATTCAATTGTTTTAATTCAAATTAGCATAATTAACAAGTTTTATAAAATGTTTACCGGACTGTTTAACGGGAAGTTAAAATTACAGTCTCAATCTGCTTTAATATGATACACTATCGTGGACCTTCGTTAACATCGCAGAATGCCTCAGGTGTCAATTATTGTTTTTGCTTACACGCACCAATCATAGGACGTCTTCAATCCCTGGGAGCCACAAATTCTATTTAACAATGTAAAAACTTTTGTATAATCAGGCACTCAGGGTAATGAAATAGTAGGTACACATAGTAGCGCTGCCTACTTTTCATAGAATTTAGGTACCTCGTACATCAGTCATTTAATTGTAGTAATTTGATCATTAATTATTTTGAATTTGATCATTTTTAAAAGAGTAACATCGAAAAAAAGCTATTTTCTTATGTAACTTAATTGTTAATTTCTATATATATGAAAAGATTATCTTAATTATAATTATTCAAAATTCCATTTCCATGTCAAATTCAAACTCATTTTAAAGCCATAGTAAACACTAGAGCCTATTGTTAAAAATATCAGTTATAATATGTTTATTTGGATGTAAAGAACCACACGTTACACGGAGATCACCTTTGCCTTCTGTTTAAAGCTTTTGATGCCGGATTGGTAATGAAAAAGTACTTTACATCTCTCATGTTCGGTAAGTAGATTCTTATTACCTCCAAATGGGGTTTGTAAGTGACTAATTAGCGCTCTAGGGTACTAATATAGCTAGAAAAGAACTAGGGCGGTAAGTAATTTAAAAAAAACACTTCTTTCTTTCAAAAAGTTCGCGTACATCTAACCATCATACTGGCAATAGACATCATGCATTCAGCCCAATAATAATTATTCAGCCTTGTCTTCGTGTGAGTACAATAGTCATCAATTTTAAATATCGAACGGCGAAGCTCAATTCCGATCTTGACAAAAAAAAACTTTAAAAGTTCTTTACTTGATTCTGTTCTTTTCTTGTTTTTTTTCTACTTACCTCACAATCGCCTAAATATCTCGGGCTGCAATTGATGCCTTACAGCCCTTGGCTACTAATCTACTATTAAATAATTCCATCCATTTACATTCCATCTAGATATCGTTTAGGGTACGGTTCGCACTAGGTCGTTTACCTTTTTTTTTATTGAAAGGTTGTCGTGTCTAGTTATTGCTTAAAATATTACTACCCGTTGTCACTATGTCGTTATAATTTCAGCGTCTAACTATAGTTATGTCTAGGCTATTCAAACTAGATAGTTACTGTAATTTACTGTTTCACAGCAGTCGCTTTATTGTTTACACAGCAGTTGCCCAGTCGCAACGACACGTCCCGTCCCAGTTGTGCCTACACATTTTTATTATTTCCTAAAAATATTGATAGTCCAGTCATTTAAGCTTAAATTAGGTAAGAATCTCGGAATTCGAGATACCCAGCTGTAAGTCTGTAAATACTTGTATATTGACACCCTAAAAGTTGTCTCAAAACCTACATATGGTAGGGTGTAAGCAACTATTAAATTTCAAGGTCAAAAGTCACAAAAATCGGTTTATTGCGCTTTTTTTGGAAATATCTCATTTCCTATGGGTTTCTGCTATTTGTATTCATTATCAATATTGTAGAATACAAAATTCTCTACAACTTTTGTTTAAAAATTTTTTTTATACGGTGAACCGTTTTCGAGATAGAGGGCGGAGAGCGCGCGGTCACAGCATCACTTCAGGTCAACCGGTGCCTCCGGTCGAAAACGCGCCATATATAGTTAATGAACTATCGATAAATCAATGATTATAAATATTTGTCAATTTTTATTAACTATTATATTATATTTTATCATTTTTTTCCTAACTTATCCACTTTTTATTCAATATTTATTTATTTAACAACACTTACCTGCCCATGTAATTGCAGAATTGTTAATGAAAATATAGGAATTATATTATGAGGCACCGGTTGACCTGAAGTGATGCTGTGACCGCGCGCTCTCCGCCCTTTATCTCGAAAACGGTTCACCGTATAAAAAATTTTTTTAAACAAAAGTTGTAGAGAATTTTGTATTCTACAATATTGATAATGAATACAAATAGCAGAAACCCATAGGAAATGAGATATTTTCAAAAAAATCGCAATAAACCGATTTTTGTGACTTTTGACCTTGAAATTTAATAGTTGCTTACACCTTACCATATGTAGGTTTTGAGACAACTTTTAGGCTGTCAATATACAAGTATTTACAGACTTACAGCTGGGTATCTCGAATTCCGAGGTGAACTTACTATAATGACTGGACTATGAAGTGGAAGCAAGTCAAGAAAAATATAGTTTTTGTTACATGTACCGTCATTTTTAGGAACTTAAAATAAACCTAAAACCATAATTCTTTCCTTTAAGATCGGGGAAAAATAGGGATAAATCGGATACACCAATTCAGAAAATGTGTATCATTAATACTATATATACGATGTCAACTATATTCAAATTGATTTAAAATTTCCGACATTAGGCATTAATATGGGTAGTTTAAATCACTTTCTATACATAAGTAATCCTTTAGGATTACTTATTTTTATATTTTAGGACTAATAACATATTTATGCTTAATTGTTTTCATCATTACTACAGTAGATAATAGGTAAACCAATCTAAAATGAAAAATTTATCTAAAATGTTTTTTTTAATTACTTACTAGTTTAGTTATAAAATACTTAAAACAAATGTAAAACTTCATAATGACAAAAGAATCTATGTCGGTCGTTAGCGGTGAAGTAATTTATCAATCTTGGACCTATGACAGCTTCTTTTCTTTTGAAATAATTTTGGTACTGTATAATTATTATTTCGATATTTTTCACTTTCATATTTGTTACTCGTACACCTCTTTCGTAAATATTGTGGTTTTTTTAATAGAAGTTGGAATCTTCAAGATTTCAATCAATCTATTACCATGAACACCTAGTTCATGGTAACAGATTAGTTGAAATTTTATGTGTTATAGCTTACCTAACTAACTACGCATTCTTATATTAAATAATATGGTACTTTAGGATTACCAATCTTAAGTTATATTTATGCAAACAATGACAAAAAAAATTAGGGATAAGACAAGCTCTTATACATGTGGTACACCGTCGGATGGAAATTAATTCTAAACAGAAACAGAGAGAGATAATGTATACCTATATACTATTCAATATTAATTAAAGAAAAAATATTGTAGTTACACTAAAAATCAAGAGTTATAAGCACAATGTATTTTAATTACGATAATATATATTTTTAATGTATATGTAATTTAAGTTAAGTAATTTCATAATTATCGCAATAAATTAGCATTAATTTGTAAGTAGAAACAAAGTTAACATTGAATAACGTAGCTGTTATATATAGTCTTTATAATACACTAAAACTGTATTTTATGGTGTGGCAGAGAGAATATACGTGAAATATTCAGTGTGTGCTGGTAGAAATCTGTCTTTGTGGGTCTTTCTTACCTTTTCCGGAGTCTGTGGCAAAATGCTCCTCTGGAGCTTCTGGACAGGATATGTCTGTCTCCATCCAAACAAGCGCACTAGTTTATCGGCTACGTCCTCACATCGCGCAGTAGATTCTTTCATGTTAAAACACTATCAATCACTCCTATTTACGTTGAAATCCAAAATTGTCATATTTATTCCTAACGTTGTGTTCCCCACGAAAAATCGTTCAGAGCTCTACACTTAAGTAATTTTTGATTAAAACTCAATAAAACACCGAAATTAAAAAAAAATGCACAAACAAACATGCAGGAAATAATTTAAAAAATGTAATTACGATGTATGTGAGAAGACAATATATATAACACGACTAGCAAGGCCTTGTAACGAGACGTGCAAAAAGTATAGTTAAAATTGTCGACTGTGGAGCGGCACGTCACTGCGACCTCAACGCCGTTATCGTCGCCATTCGTTATCTGACTATCACTCCCCACCAACCCACTGCACCTTCACTTTAACTAAACACAATGTGCCTGCTCTATCTACAATCAGATTTTCAAAGCGCGGCTATCTAAGATATGGCTTTTGAAGTGCAAGTGAGACTACTATGCCGTACATAATCTACGTTCAGAGGGCTGAGTGCAAGTTAATTTCACATCAACTCGCTCCCGGCAGCGAGCGCCTTTAGCGCTGCGATTTGTGGATTTCAGTGCGGGCCAATCGTATCGCCGAACGCAGTCACCGATGATCGAGTAGAGGTGAAAAAAAAGCAAAATTAAAATTTAAAAAAAACACGCGTGTTAAAACGTAATCGAAAAAGGATAAAAAAATCAAAAACCTCCGACTTAACCAGATTATGTAACTTAAGATAATAAAATTAAAAAGCTTTTTATAATAGAGTTGATCTCTCGTGAAGTCGGTCATATAAACAATGGAGTATCAGTTTTCATAACACTTCCTTACGTGCCTATTTGTTTCTCGAAGATATACTAGATGTGGCAATAATAAATAACATATTCAACTACCTATGAAATTAATAAACAACCGAAGAATATCAGCCGGGGTCATCTCTATTTCAAATTTCAACTAAAATAACATATAATAGCTTAAAGGGATCCCAAAATTCCATTCTGTAGTTCCAGTACCTGATTTATTTATGGTTTACGACAACGTCTCACTACAGTTTCTAATTCCACTTTAGGCAAAAAAACAGTATGTTAATATTTATTTCCAATGCTTTGGAAAATAAGTAACTATCATTTAATATCACAAAAATGCTGTTAGATTGTAACACAGCCATGTTACGTGCAGAAATAATTACCACATTGTGAACATTAACACATAGCTCGCAAAACGTTGACTCCGTCACTTGGCATATTTTGGTCCCGGTATTTCATAGTTTTACAACGTGAATTGCATTTCCTCTCAAGGTAAAAGGATAAATCTTGACTTCAGGGACTTTAGGTCAAAGAAAATTCTACGAAAACAATAATTTGTGTTTATGGCACAAAACATTTACAGCATAGGAGAAAGTACACTTGCTAGAGAATATGGACAAATCCACACAATTATACCCAAAACGATAAGTTTTATACGCGCTGGATCGAAACACGAAAGCGAACAATTGGCTTTTGCAATTTCGCCATTTAAATAACACTTGATTGTCAATTGTTGCGAGGTGTCGATTAACAAAATTACGTGAGATGTAATTTATTACGTGTTACAATATAGATAGAGATTACAGAGCAACTGAATTGTTTGACATTTCACATTTAATTATAAACAATTACGGATCATAAGATTACCTATTGCTTGTTTGCTTTGTATCAAGTTTCTATGTTTAAAACTTTAAAAAAATGTAATTCAAGTTGAATGACGCAGAAGGTGTTACAGAAAAAACGTTTGATAAGCGAGTTATAGTGTCACGAAGTCACAGGGCGCTTTCTACTAGAGATCTGGATATCTAGATCGCTACCAAAGCGACTTCAATGTTACCATTCTGCTAAAAAAAATGCCATGAGACAACCCATGGCATTGATAGTGATTAATATCTGTAATAGAGAGATGTGCGAGGCTATGAGAAATTCGCAACAATAGCTTATTTTTTATAGCAATTATTGAACACACAAAGTATGTCAAATGACTGTTTATTGAATGTGCTCCAAGTAATGATGATTCAATAAGAATAGGCATAATAGAGTTAATTATCGTCATAAAGTATTTTAAAAACTGCACCAATTAGGTAATGGGAGTTTAGTAGGAACTGACCTGGTAAATTATATTGGATTTACTTAAAAATATGCCTATACCTATTATACCGTAATGGTGCACACCTGATTACCACACTAGACGGCGAAGATATCATTGACAAATTTCCTCTACCACACCTCAAGCTTGAAATGTTACAAGTACATGTTTTGTAATTTTAATGTGCAATTACATTTAATAAGCATACGAATCTTTGGAAATCATCACATATAATTCCAGTTTAATGATGTCACAGATTCGTCATGGGAAAGGACTTGGTTATTGGATTGGAGGTAAAAACTCGAGTATAAAGCGTAATGCTAAAACATAATTTTCTTTGCCTTTAGCATATAGCACCTCGGTTCTGCAGTTATGGTTTAACGGACATATTATGCATGCTTAACTTATTTTTTTACAGTTCAATCACATTATCGATATTTACAAGATATTTAGTTAGTAGTATAGTATTTAGTTAGTAGAATAAAAACGACTATGAATTTATTTTCAAGGATTAATTATGAAACGGCGGGGAGCCTTTGTCAAGGAATGAAACGACCTGTCGCGACGGTGTGTTATCTCCGAAATATTCACGTGAATCTTTAAAAAATATGAATGTGTAATCTGGGATTTTCATACATTTATTTTATTTGTTTGTTATTGAAGTTCACCACAAGTTTTACTTTTGGTCACGCAACACGTAATTAACTACCTACCTAATATGATTTTTTTTTCATTCAGCTAAACTTTTTTAATATTACAGCTATACAACGTAAATAAAAAGTAAGTTTGTTTTAATTTTTGTAATTAAATTTAGAATATGTTTGGCACCATAATTTAACAATATATCTTTTGCAACATAATCGCACTATATAAGAATATACATATGTCGTAAAACAAAAGGTACGTCATCTCATTGTCTACAATATCATATTATTATCACGGGAACCAACTGTGCAAGTTTTGTGCAAATGCAAACTAACTGGCAAAAGCGTACAATGCCACAATGGTTACAGCACAAAATGGACAAATTGGTCACACAACAATTACACTTAAATCTGCCTCACTGAATACAAAATATTCACAAGTCTATCACTTGCACTACGAAGTGTTTGAATACATCTAAAGTGTATATAAAGTTATGAGAAAAGAGGGTAAAAGTCACATATTTTAATCGATGTAAACAAACTGGAGGCTGCGCGGCGGGCAACTGGCTCGGCTTTCTGCGCGTGCGCCGGCCGAGGCGTTGAGTGCCTCCGGGGAGGAGGGCGCGAGGGGAGGACGGCCAGCAGGTCACCGCTCCCCTTGCCCCTGCGAATCATTGAGAGGTGCTTCGGGCGCTTGCCGTATCAGCAACTATTCCAACCTGTGTTATTAGTGTTATTACAAACACATACACACCTTTCGTAACTGATCGCTAAAAATCAAACAATTTAAGTAGGCTATTGACAATTGTCAATGTCGGTCAAGTCTTTTGCCGGTTTTTCTTTCGACGATTTGGCCAGTATAATTTGAGCTATCATTGTATACACTGTACATACAGGTGCTCATATACATATATTCATTCCATTAAATTATTCTTAACTTTACGGTTCTACGTTCGCGAAATTTAAAACATAAACGCGCATGTATACCTACCTATGAGAAATTCTCTTCGTGTATTAATACACAAAGTAAAGTAGAAAGATAAAAACGGGCGATTAATGAAAATTTAAGGTACAGGTCATGACGTTTGGTTGTAGGTTGAGCAAGTGAGAGAATAATTAATTAAAAGATGAACTTTCTCTACTCTTCCTGTCGCTACAATAATTTAGACAGTTAACGAACTACAAATCCTTTAGGGCACTTCCTGCGGATGTTAACTTGGTGCTGTAGTATTTAATTTGATATTGTAACTTTCGTTGGGGTGGTGTACGGTGGGTGACGAGCACGGAGAAGGGTCAGCGACGCTGAGAATTAGCGGAGCGCGTCGGGTGCACTTAGCGGAACGTCTGCTGCGTGGGGTGCCAAGTGCCAACCGTCCCACCACCTCGACAACGGCATAGGTCCAAGGTCACCACATAAAACTACCACTTTCAAATACCTACGACTATTTTGACTCTGCTTAAATACTTATTTGCAAGGACAATATACTAATATTAAATATTTATTTTGGTTTTTATATTTAAAAAATACATTATTATAGTATCTACCTATGCAATCTATATGCTATCAAATTGTAACTACATTTTTTTGTAAATAGCGCCATCTATTAGACTTATGATGAATCACTTGGCCAGATAGGTGACAAGTTGACATTGTGTAACTTTCAAAAACATGTATGCTAGTATTACCAGTAATAAGATACATTATGTATTTGTGGTTTACAATAGTTCAAAAATTAAGCAGTAAGATATTTTCATTGCAATAACGATTTTATGGGGATAGTACTTATCGTTACATTTTTGCTAAATAGATGGCATTGCAAGTCACTATAAAAAAGTTTCAAATAAAACATTAAATTATTGAAGGTTACAGTAATACATATTATTTAATAGAAGCACCTTAAATCAAGTATAAAGTGAACTAGATAATTTTGGTAAATAATTTAATTAAGTTACCTAAGTATTGTATAAGTATAAAGAACATGTGAAACCTCCCGCTTGTTATTACTCAACCTTTTTAAATACTCTAATTCCTCCAATTGACTCATTATTTTACACACCGCATTGTATACTATATAATGACAAGCGCCAATTTTATAAAAGGATAACCTTTAACCTTTAAGGGTGTCTCATAGCGTCTTAGTGGGCGATCAAATATAAAAAGATGTGTATTTTTGTTCACAGAAATCAAACATTAAATTTATTCATATTATATATTACAATTATGTATGGGTATGTGTGTATGTATGTATG